ATATATATATATATGTATGATTGACTCTCTTTAGATCTATTCATATATATATATATGGATATATTTTAAGACATCTGCCAGGTCAGCCTGCTGTGATCTTTGACACTTACTCTCTTCATAAATGAAGCTCGTGCATCTACTGAGAATCTGGTGAACGTTTAAACATTAAATACAGACAAAGTGAGCTTTTAATTCTGGTATTAATATTGTCAATATTTGTACTTTGTACTCTCTAAACATAAAATATTTAAGAATAAAGGGAGTTCTCTGCCAAATTGACCAAAAGTATAAAACAGAGAAATTAATATACAAACTGTGAAGAAAATAACATGAAGCAAATTGTGCACATGGAAATGTTTAAAAAAAATGTATGTTCAGTGATATGAAATATTCTTGTAGTTTATGTAAATTAAAAGGTAACAGTAAAAAATGTAACTACGTATATTAGCTGAAATGTGAATATTAATTCAGTTTAATATTTGTTAAATTGAATGAAATGAATATAAAGTACATTTGAAGAAGTATTCTACATCCCTGAATATTGTTAACCATTGAGAAACAAACCTGTAGAGCGACGCCTCCTCTCCTCTCTGAGCTGTTGAGGTGTAAAGCTAGAGCTCGCGCTGCAGGTAAACAACACGTCTCTTTATCTAAAGCTCCGCCCACAAAACACACCTCCACTTCCTGAACGACTCCCTACAGGTACCTCAACACTAGGTACACGTACTACTGTACCTGAGTATTTATACTTCAGAGGGAAGTATTCTGTAAATAGAGTGAAGAAGAATTCAGATCTCATACTCAAGTAAAAGTAGAAATAAACTGTAACAATCAAAAGTACAAAAATATTAGCATCAAAATGTACTTAAAATACAAAAAGTAAAAGTATTCATTATGCTGAATGATGTATGTGATATTATTGTATTATAATTATGCAAGTGATCATCACTTTAATGTTGCAGCGGGTAAATATTTATCTTAATAACTATATCCTTCTGTGCAGTTTAATCTGTGATAATATATCATAATGTATAAGTTGATTATCATTGATATTAGTAACCAGCGCTGTCAGATAAATGTAGTGCAGTAAAAAGTACAATACTTCCCTCGTATAAAGTGTAAAGTACAAAGTACCTATTTTAGCTGATAGGACGTATAGCTGTATATAAGTAGACCTCTGTACGCCATTTGGCATCCGGTTCCATAGTGTAGCGGTTATCACGTCTGCTTTACACGCAGAAGGTCCTGGGTTCGAGCCCCAGTGGAACCACAATTTTACATTTTTCAGTAATCTCCTGAAGACGACTTCATTGTTTATCGTATTACCATGAATCCGTCGCAAAAATATGTCTGGTTTTAAACAGAGAGAACTGTGGCACTTTGACCAACAGTAGTTAGCTAAACAACTGCTGTTGTCGTTATGCTGCTTATACGTTTAAACAGAAGAAACTCACAGTTCTCAAGCTGGTCAGCCACATCCCGCAGCAGGTCTGCCAGCGGCCGCCCGGTCGAAGCCATGAGTGCCGCTATCTAGTTATTTGAAGTCGTCTGCAGGGATGATTTGCTAGGAATCGGTTCGAGAATCGACAGAGATGGTAAAAAATGGAGATGCCGGGGATTGAACCCGGGGCCTCATACATGCGAAGCACGCGCTCTACCACTGAGCTACATCCCCATTAGTGCGTTATATGGACCAAGGTCCCACTTTAGAGAGCAGCCCTTATCATTACTTCTACATATTTTGCCTTCATCCATTTATTATCATCATCAACTATTTGCTTTTACTTCGTTGAAGTCATCTAATTTTTGATAAACATTAGTAGTTTAAATGATGTTTTATAAGCGGTTTACATTTAATGTTAGGAAGTTCAAACAACTGGATTTATTCAAGTTTCTCACCAAAAAAAACTACATTTTACAAGATAACATTGAACACATCAGAATTGACTTTCGTTCAATTCTCATTTTTACTGAATGGAGCTTGAACGCATCATAATGTACCTGAATGGAACCTCCGTGAACCTGAATGCATATTAATATTTACATTGTTTTGAATCAACATAAAGTAGTAGTTAAGATCGCAGCAGTACAGACTTATCGTTCCCTCTCCTCTAATCCCTCTGTGCGTCACACACCGCTCCTTTCCTTTCCTCTCTGGATGATCACAGGCAGTGGAGCTGGTGGAACATGTTCTCTGTAGGGCTGTGCCACATCCAATCAATGTCAGCAAACATCCCAGAATGATTTCATGCAAATATATGTAAATCTATAGTAAATATTTAACCTTTATTCCAACATGAAAAAAGCAGTAAACAACACGTCAGACATCTTATTTTAGTCTCAGTATAATATAATAATATATATATCGTATAATAATATATATATATATATATACATATATGTACCTACAAGATGTACCGGTGTTAGAAACGATGACGTAAGCTGCGATGGCCGAGTGGTTAAGGCGTTGGACTTGAAATCCAATGGGATCTTCCCGCGCAGGTTCGAACCCTGCTCGCAGCGGACTGGTGTCTATTTTAGTTCCAGGTAAACGAGATGCAGTTTATCATCTCACGCGTATTAGAGTATTTTTCATATAGAATGAGTAGTACTATACTTAATACACATATGAGGTAGTATATGACTATTCTAGATGTATCGACATTATGAGCAGTATGGAGATGTGCATACATAAAGTCATGATGATGATGGTGAAGCCACATTGTCTCTCAACTCACCGGCTGTTGTTCTGTGTGTCTGTGTTACGGTCACCTGCTCTGTCCGGCCTTTAACATCTGAACAAAATGTCTCTGTTCTTCAACAACATGACATCTCCCTGTCTGTCTCTCCCTCTCCCTGTCTGTCTCTCCCTCTCTTCCTCTCCCTGTCTGTCTCTCTGTCTGTCTCTCTCTTCCTC